TGTGTGTGTGTGTGTGTGTGTGTGTGTGTATGGTGTATGTGTATGGTGTATGTGTGTATATGTGTGTGTTATGTGTGTGCGTGTGTATGTATGTGTGCGTGTGTATGTGTGTATTTATGTGTATGTGTATGTGTGTGTGTGTATATGTGTGTATATGAAAAGATTAATCATTAGGCTGTTGATTGTCGAATGCACTATTTTCTCGATGCAATCGATGGGAATAATGAATTTATCGAATGTGAATTGATCGAATGTCATAACATTCGATCAATAGCTTCGATGAGAATTAGTACATCGGGAAAGTTCCATTCCTAATTTCGGTAGTATTTTGTTTTTTCCGGAAAGAAAAATAAAAGAACTGAAAGAAATATTTTGAAAGCAACTAGAAGTAAATATGCATGACAAGCTTACATACCTCTCATCCTTCGACATAATTAGGATCTGTAGATTAAGTCAGATATTTAAGTCAGACTATTAGATGACATTCGATATAGTTAAGTGGATTAGGTGACAGTATAGATAAAGTATAGACAGTATAGATTAATATGGATAAAGTAGATCAGACCACACAGAAATATAAATATGAATAAAGAAGGAGAGGACCGGAGAAATCCATTCTTAGAGGAGTGCACTTTGATAGATTGTTTGCTTTTGCTGAAGACTTAAGGAATGCTTTGAAAACAGGCCTTTGCAAAGTAGTCGTGGAGAGATTGTGAATAAATCACGAAATGTCTGTCTTAAAGCGCAATAGCCCGTTTGAAAACTATGCTTGTTTCGTAACAAATTGCTATATTGCATAATATTCACTTAAAATCTTCAATGAAATAGCTTACACGCATAAATATCTCTTATTAACTTTGATCAAACATTGATGAAAAGAATGTTTGAAGTAACGAAGATCGTGCAATTATTTGTCTCTTTCTCTTACATATTTTTTATTGTTTTTTTATTTTTTTCTGGAAAATTTTGCAACTCATCTAAAATTGATGTAAATTCATTTACTACGTGGAATAAAAATATTTTCTTAGTAGAATTGCAAATGTCTCGAAGTTTTGCTTTTGTCGTTGCAAAATGATCTTTCATTGAGGTGACGAGAGATCAATTCGAGATAGACAGCACATTTGCCTTTTGTCCAATTCCTTTTTTTTGAACATAACTTTTCAATTTTTCAGGCACAGATCGATTATAACAAACTTTCACTAATAAAAAAAAAGGAAAATTCCGCATGCAGCACATGATCTGCTCGAATTCCATATATGAAAACCGTAAACTCTGTTTCATCTTTTCCGAAGAGTAAAATTTACCTAATGAAGGTGAAATGTCAATTTTTCTCCTCTCATCTCTACACATTCCATTTACAGCTGTAGCTAATTATCTCGCATTGAACAAATTTTAGCAGTCAGTAGACATTCAGTAGAAATGTAAATTTCAAGTAGAATTTTTTGAGAGAAGTACAATACAAAGAGATTTTAAGCTTATCAAACTTATCAGATTTGAACATGCATTGAACACACGAAAATACATCGCTGAAAAATAATACGTAGCAAAATTCAATCATATCCTCACGTTTTACCCGTTTGCGCCAATAATTCTCAACTTTTATTCGAACAGATCACATTACTCAAATCAGTTCGTAAGTTAATTTTCAAACAGTACATTTTGTTTTTCACCAACAAAACTTTAATGTATGGCGAAGAGTTTTATTGAAATGTCCTGAAAAAAAAATCCTGAACTGTAACCTA